ATAAAAATAAACTATGATTTCTCAAAATAGTTATGTTATTAGACGAAAATAAAATTATCCATATATTAGATAAAAATGTAGTGTTTAATTTTAATTACAGGGACAAGTTGTTTAATTATTTCAATTTCTTTTAAATGTATGAAAACAAAGTCTGCTTTTATCTACAAAGCTCCTACAATCTTTTTTCTACTACATATATTTATCATCAAAACGCAAGTCACGCAGATTACAGATTTGTATAAACAAAATGATTATTTTATTTACATGCATCCGTTTATGTGAAGACCTTCAAATTTCACAGTTATTATTATTATTATTATCTCCCACTATATACATAAGTATTAACTGTTTCTGTATATTATGTTATTTACTCTCAAATACTACAGTAATAACGCGGTGTTCGTTGGTGAAAATGGATCGTTGGGTAGAAAAAGTAGCCGTCGTAACTGGAGCCAGTGCTGGAATAGGGGCGGCGATAGCCGAAGCACTAGTCAAAGAAGGTCTAATTGTAAGTAAAACGGATTTTAAAGTGCATGAGTTTACATATAAAAATCGATAGGTCGCTGGATTTGCTAGAAGAACAGACAGAGTCGAAAAACTAGCTAAAAAATTACAAGACGCTAATGCTAAGGGAAAACTGCATGCGGTCAAAGTGGACATGACGAAGGAAAACGAAATAATCGACGGGTTCAATTGGGTTAAAAAAAATCTGGGGCCAATACACGTCCTTGTAAATAATGCAGGGGTTGCGAGATTCGATGCATTAATCGATAGTGATACACAGAAATGGAGGGACATATTTGACACGAACGTGATAGGATTGAGTATAGCAACAAGGGAAGCTGTTAAAGACATGAGAGCTAACAATGTAGACGGTCATATCATTCACATTAACAGTATTGTTGGTCATCAGGTGTTAAACTTTCAAGGAATCAACGCTTATCCTGCCAGCAAGCATGCTATTACAGCCCTAAGTGAAACTTTGAGGCACGAATTTATCCAAAATAAATTAAAAATTAAAATAACAGTTAGTTTTAAATTTATATTCCAATCTAATAAGTTGCTCGATGATTTAAGAATTCAGTTTCAGTTAAACTTTCAAATTGGAATATTCACTACTCCTGAAGCTTTGGTACCATAACATTTGTGCAAATTTTTTTAGAGTATAAGCCCAGGTTACGTGATAAGCGATTTTCGTGAAGCAAGTGGTATTAAAATTGATCCTGACTCCTCTTTGCTCGATGCAGAAGGATTAAATCCTGAAGATGTAGCAAACAGCGTTTTGTACGTTCTGGGCACTCCTCCTCACGTGCAAGTACGTTTCTTTTAAACGCACTTTTTCTTCCTTAACCAAATATTTTTTGTACATTTCAGATCCAAGAATTGACTATTCGCCCGGTTGGTGATCAGTACTGATTAATCCCGTTCTCGACGTTAATTTAATGACAAGTATCACCGTGAAACATAATACTTTTGTTACATATATGTATATTATTTATTGTAAATAAGGAAATAATCAAAAATTAAAAACTCGCATTTTATTTTATTAATTAATTTTTGGTATAAACACAAAAACATAAAGTTATACTGTGTATTTCAGTAATTGGTAGGATTAAAAATAAATTCAGAACTTTGGCATTTGGGCACAATATAAATATACTCTGAACAGTTGGTTCACTCTCTTGATTATTCGTAAAATCTAAGTCTTACAGACACTTCATAATACTTCGTCTGCGAGTTCCCCACTGAGCAGGGGTTGTCTTGTATAGAGGTCATCCTAGTCACAGAGCTGATGTAGTCCGTATTTCAGATCAAAGAAGTAATCTTCCTGTCTAGACGATCTTGAGCACCGTATAAATAAAGATATTCTGCTTTTTTACGAGGGTGTGATTTTTGTCAATTTTAAAAACAGTTAGTTTTGCCTCTATTATGTATCTTAGCTAATGTTCAATAGCTTTACCTAATCAGATCTTGTACAATTATTTCTTTGCCATTTTTTGTGTAAAATTAAGTTTCTTCACACACCAAATCACTTCTATGCTCGCGAACGATTAATTTAGAAATTCGAAAAAGGTTGTTAAAGGTATACGTTTGGAGCGCGGCGCTGTACGAGTGCGAAACATGGACGGTGTGCGCGGCGGAAAAGAAAAGGTTAGAAGCGTTCGAAATGTGGTGTTATAGGCGGATGATGAGGATACCGTGGATAGAGAAAGTTAAAAATGGCGAGGTATTAGAAAGAATAGGAGAACAGAGGACTCTATGGAAGTCAATAAAAATTAGGCGAGATAGGTTGGTAGACACCTTCTCAGGCATAAAGGTTTAGTCAGAGACGTATTAGAGGCAAAATTGGGAGTTAGGAGGGGTAGAGGTAGACCTAGATTAGATTACTACTCGCAAATAGTTAAAGATGTGGGATGTTCTAGTTTAAGGGAAATGTGAAGATTCGCTCAAGATAGGAAAGAGTGGAGGTGCGTGCCCAACCAGTCTTAGGACTGATGACCTTATGATGATGATGATGACATTGATTGTTTTTTATATGTAAATTAAAGTTTATGGTCGATTTTTCTCTAAGTATTTTTTTTTATCAACGGAATTAGTTGATTGTGCGAATTCATGCGATAACTTTCTTTTTGTAAACACTTCAGCCTCTATAATTAGTAACTAACTTTAACTGTTTGTATACACTGAAATAAAATTCAAAGATATTGTCGTAAACAGATTCTTTGTTTGGCCTTTCTACGATGAGTTTCAAGTTTTTGTAAGACCTTGAAAAGACCGGTTGGCGAATATTCACTATTTATATTGTGTTCATCCATCTCCAAATTCAGTGTAATTATTAAAAATCCTAATCCCCACCATTTGATGAATATTCGCTGGTTATTTATACTGCGTTCGTCGATCTATCCATGCAGTGTAATTAGTAAAATTGCAATCATGAGTCGTTGGGTGGGAAAAGTCGCTGTTGTTACTGGGGCTAGTGCTGGAATTGGGGCTGCAATAGTCGAAAAACTAGTTCAAGAAGGACTTATTGTAAGTAAAAATTCAGACTGAAAATAGATGCATTCTATCAATACGTAATTCCGATATGATCAATAAATTATTTTTTTTACCAGACGCGGTCTCGTTACTTCACGGACAAACCCTGTATANGAGATGGCATTAATAGACTGGAACACCGCTATGAGAAATGTATCAGCCTTGGAGGAGATTATGTTGAGAAATAAAAAAAAAAAATTTTTAAAAACCTTGTTTTTCTTGGTCAGGCCGGAAACTTATCAATCCACCCTCGTAGTTACAGTTGCGTGGCAACATTCAGAATACAAATCCATATTTCAAGTCGCCTACAAGTCAGTTTTGCACCAGTAATCCAGTCAGTATAGTATTCATTGTCGAACGAATTTAATAGTTGTTTTTAGTTTTATTTTTGACGTTGAAATCTAGTTTTATTCAGGGGCGGCCTTGAGTCATTGGAAGGTTCCGGGCGGGTAAATTTTTGCGAGGCCCTCCTCTTTGTGGAATTAATTTTAATGGTGATACTTGAAAAATGCAAAAAGTGATTCATAAATAAGTTTACAGTTTTAAAATTGTTTATCGAAAATTAAAGATAAAATTGATAAAGACAAAGATATCTAACAAATTTGCGACTTCTTTTAAGACTATTAAGAAATTCAAATAAACATTAGTAGTACCTATGTACTATTACTGCCTAATATTTTCTAATTAGATTGTTGCGCGAGTGCGCGAGGCCCCTGCAAGAGCGAGGCCCCGGGCGGTTGCCCTGTTCGCCACCCCCAAAGGCCGCCCCTGCGTAAAAGNCGCTGTACGGGTGCGAAACATGGACAGTGGGCGCGATGGAAAAGAAAAGGTTAAAAGGATTCGAAATGTGATGCTACAAGCGAATGATGAGGATACCGTGGATAGAGAAAGTTAAAAATGGCGAGGTATTAGAAAGAATAGGAGAACAGAGGACTCTATGGAAGTCAATAAAAATTAGGCGAGATAGGTTGGTAGACACCTTCTCAGGCATAAAGGTTTAGTCAGAGACGTATTAGAGGCAGAATTGGGAGTTAGGAGGGGTAGAGGTAGACCTAGATTAGATTACTACTCGCAAATAGTTAAAGATGTGGGATGTTCTAGTTTAAGGGAAATGTGAAGATTCGCTCAAGATAGGAAAGAGTGGAGGTGCGTGCCCAACCAGTCTTAGGACTGATGACCTTATGATGATGATGATGACATTGATTGTTTTTTATATGTAAATTAAAGTTTATGGTCGATTTTTCTCTAAGTATTTTTTTTTATCAACGGAATTAGTTGATTGTGCGAATTCATGCGATAACTTTCTTTTTGTAAACACTTCAGCCTCTATAATTAGTAACTAACTTTAACTGTTTGTATACACTGAAATAAAATTCAAAGATATTGTCGTAAACAGATTCTTTGTTTGGCCTTTCTACGATGAGTTTCAAGTTTTTGTAAGACCTTGAAAAGACCGGTTGGCGAATATTCACTATTTATATTGTGTTCATCCATCTCCAAATTCAGTGTAATTATTAAAAATCCTAATCCCCACCATTTGATGAATATTCGCTGGTTATTTATACTGCGTTCGTCGATCTATCCATGCAGTGTAATTAGTAAAATTGCAATCATGAGTCGTTGGGTGGGAAAAGTCGCTGTTGTTACTGGGGCTAGTGCTGGAATTGGGGCTGCAATAGTCGAAAAACTAGTTCAAGAAGGACTTATTGTCATTCTTTTGATCAGTAGAAGTGTCTGCTATTCGAGTAAGCCCCTCTTATTGAAAACATAAACGGCTCTTTTTTTACAAAGATTTAATCCTTATCTATAATAAAAAAAATCAACAATGTCAAATTACAGATACAATTTTATTGAAATACTATATTACCTACAACTATATAGATTATGTGTATTCATGTTATAGGTTTCGAATTGTAAACACTTAAGTCCCCACCATTTAATTAACGTTACCGTTTATAAATTCCGTGTTGGCTACTCTCCACAACTAGTAATACTATTTCGGTAAAATGGAACGTTGGGTGGGAAAAGTCGCTATCGTAACTGGCGCCAGTGCTGGAATAGGAGCTGCAGTAGTCGAAGCACTTGCTAAACAAGGTTTAATTGTAAGTAAAACAAATTTAGTGTCTACAATTTAATTTTGGTTTTAAAAATAATCAACAAACGATTGTTTAGATGCGTGAAGTTAAATCCTACAAGTAAATTCAACTGTTTCAGATTTATTATTAAATACAGTGTAAACTCTTTATAACGTCACTCAATTTAACGACAAACTCCTTAAAACGTCGAAATTGCTTGGCTTTGGTTGGTTTACATTGTTTTCTATACAATATTACACTCTATATAGCGTCACGCTCACTCTATTTAACGACAATAATGCGGCATTATAAATCATTGAGCGGTACTTTCTAAGTTGCCGAAATAGATAAGAACTGCAGCTGTGTACGTTGTTGAAGAAGACGATCCTGTCCCTCCACCAAGCATCAAACAAGCACTTGATGCAGCGAAACTATTAAAAAAATACTTTTTATATAATCAAATTGATCCAGCAGT